GCGTCTACACACAAAATGTCATTTCTGCGTTTACACCAGTGTAACACTCTCTGGTACCCAGCTCTTTCGGTCTTGTGGCACCTACAGTGTGTGGGGAAGGAAGAAGTATGTGCTGGATGGATCACGCCAGGAATCTGCTAGACCCTGGATTCTACCACTACAAGAATGACAGCTTTTTAATCCAGTTGATAATGTCACCACTTTCAGGTTATAAATGTTTATTTTCTGAAATAATAGACTAGTATTAACACACTGATGTTTAAAACTAAGGGTGCTTGAATAAGCAGGCCCCAGACACCATCCACTGGCACTCTGGCTTCTGTCTCTCAGCCTGGCTACTCCTTGCTAGGCCACAAGTTTATCAAACCTGTCTCCCATCAGAGGAAATACCTCTAAGGTCTGTCTCAGGTAAAGAAGGCCTCAAATACGAAGTGACGGTAAGTGCACTACAGACCACTCGGCTCTAACATGAAGGATGGTCTCTACACTATTCCTAGCAGTGAATTACAAGGTCCCAGATAACTACACGTGGGGCTCTCCTCTGATTGCCCCGGACACTGATGTTCCTTCCTCTCTTCTTTGTGTTAAAAAACAAACTTAATTACCAAGACTCTGAAGAAAAGTTTAAAATGATGCACTACAATTTGTAAAATTACTTCATGAAAATTATATTTTGAAAGGTGTCCAAATAGGCACTGTCTTTGTCTAGTAATAAACACACCATACAATATACTCCTACAAAATGAATTTTATCTTTTTTTAAAAACATTTTTAAAGAGAATAAGAAATAAATAAATAAATAAATAAATAAAAGCAATAAACAAGAGTGGGGGCCAGAGAGATGGCTCAGTAGAGTAAGTGCTTCCCTGGCAAGCACAAGGGCCTGAGTTCAATCCCCAGTTTCGCTAAAAAAAAAAAAGAAAAAGAAAAAGGAAAAGCGATACAAAAATCTCATTTTTTATTTTATTTTTGGTGGTACCAAGGATTGAACTCAGGCTCTTGCTTGCACTTGCCAGGCTAGCACTTATTCCATTGAGCTATCTTCCCAGCCAGACTCTCATTTGTTAAAAAGCACAAATCCTAAAACAATGGGCCTAGAAACAATACATACCTCATCAAAAACCTCTGATTAACGACTTGCTCATTAGATATACAAGCCGAAAGAGCAAGGAAACATGACAGGGGCAAGCCATACTGTTACATGTAGAAGATGGGTAGGGCAATGATCCTGAGAATCTTCAGAAGATTTTTGAATCTTGCAGTTAATCGGAATGATTCTCACCCTGACTAACTATATATACAAACATCTGTGAACTAAGCAACTGCATTGAAGATGGCAATTTGTAATAGTAGGTTCGGGGGGCCTGCCCCTTAGCTTAGTTCTTTAAGTGGCTGCTTCAACAAAGCAGTCAGGCTCAGGTTGTTGTGGTTCGATCCCCACAACTCAAGCCAGCCAAACCTGCCCTGAAGGCATTCGGAGCAAAAAAAAAAAAGAAAAATCCTTCTGTAATAGTAGGTTCATGCTTGCAGTGCCTGTCATTCTGGTCTTCTGAATACGGGCTGCTTGTCATGACATGCCAGTTGCTGCTGTGCTGTCTCTCGGGTAGATGATTGTTCAAAAAGAAGAGGGTGAATGAAGGCAGGAGACAGGAAAAGGAATGTTGCAGGACTAGCTTGCTACAAGGTTGTATATGGTGAGATTTCTGGACTTAACATGTAAACATAAGAATTATATAATTATGCCTATTATTAAAAGATATTTTAATTTTTTAAATGTTTTTTCTTCATATTCTGTAGGGACTTAAAGTTCAACATATCAATACTTGATGAAAGGGGTCGGGGAGATGGCTCAGTGGAATACGCGCTTCCCTGACAAATGCAAGGGCCTGAGTTCAATCCCCAGTTCCAGAAAAAAAAAAAAAAAAAAAATACTTGATGAAAAATACCTGTTCCATGCTATGCCTAAGAAGTTTGATATTCAGACAGATAGTGAGGTTAAGCTTAACAGCCTAGGTTGTATGGTAATAACAATAAACTTCTCTTCTGGAGGGTTAACAACCTAAGTTTGCAGACCAAAAATTAGAAAAAAAGGAGGGCTGCACGGAAAGTCAACATTTTGGCCCTATCCTTCCAAGGTCAATTAAGACTCAGGACATATGAGAATTTGTACTGTAATGTCATGTAACTCAGTAGTGTCCCACATTTTCTAATCAAAGAGATTATGGGGCCAAAGAGGAAAGTGATTGATGATGTAGAGTGTGCCTAAGGAGAGTCACATGGAGAGAAAACATTCTCTCAGGCTTTCACAGACAGCACATTGTCCAAGCAATGGCTGTGACTCATCCACATGGCTGACACTGACAAAGGATCTACAATGTGAGGTATAGGATCTCAGGATAAATTCTTTTTTTTTTTTGGCGGAACTGGGGATTGAACTCAGGTCCTTGCGCTTGCCAGGGAAGCGCTTATTCCACTGAGCCATCTCCCCGGCCCCTCTCAGGATAAATTCTGAGGGGATTTGACTGACTTTATCAGATCCAAAAGCTACAACTCTTGTTGCATAGGTCTTGCTTTATCTTGGTTTTAACATCTGGCAGAAAAGTATAAAAACGAAGTATAAGAAGTAAAGCCATGTTGTTATGTTGAGCTGTAGGGGACTTAAGTCAACAGTTTCTGACACTGCAGTCAAGCGGAAGACCCAATACTATTATGGATTACTGGACTCTTTTAGAATATTTTTGCTGAGTTAACACACCTATAATATTCAAACAAGGGAACTAAACAAAAAAGGGGATATATAAATGAATGTCCATTTTGTATCTGTGTATTCAAAATGGTTAGGATAGATATACAGTTACATTCTCTTAATGAATAGAGTGATTTGGTCTAATAGTGTTTGTAAATAGGATATCATGTCTGCATCTTGTACAGCAAATAACCACTAAGAAGACAGTATGCAATGTGTTAATTATTGAAACTGTCCTACCAATTTGATTTGAAACTGTCTCATTGCTATTTGTCCGTCAATAAAATTATGGAAAAAAATAAAATAAAATAAAATCTAGGATTGGAGATTTCATTCAAGCCAGCTATTCCCCTCCTGGGTACTTTTCCAAAACAACTGAAAACCTCATACCACAGCGATATATGTGCATCCATGTTTATAGCAGAACAATTTGTCATACCTAAATCCTGGAAATAACCCAGATGCTGATTAACTGAAGAATGGATGAAAAAGATGTAGTATTTTTACACAATGGAATATTATTCAGCTATAAAAGAGTATAAATTTGAGTCTTTTTTTCTGTAAAGGGATGCAGAAAACATACTCGTCTTAAGTGAAATAAACTAGACTCACATGTGCAAACATCAAAAAAAAAGAAAAAGATATACAAACCCCTGGCACTAACAATTCTAGGGCCAGGGCGATAGCTCAGTAGATTAAGTGCTTGCCTGTCAAGTGCAAGGGCCTAAATTCAATCCCTGGTTCTGCAAAAAAAAAAAAAAACAAAAAAACAAAAACTAACAATTCTAAATTTTCATAGATGTGACATTCACAATTATAGATCTTACAGCGAAAAAGGAAAAATTCTGTCTCCTATTGCTGAAAGAACACACTGCACTTCACCAGGCAGCTCCCCAGAGTTCACCCCCACTGGAACTAGTACAAAGAAAGTCCAGGTGGCTCTCACCTTGGCAGCCCCTCAGTAGGACTGAGTAGACGCGCTGGCGCACGGGACGGTAGATGAAGGCCTGGCTGGGCAGGGCTTGGTCCAGCTCGTCTTCCAGCGTGTTGCTGCACTCAATCTCACCACTGCTCAGGATGCTGTACACCAGGTAGCTTTCCGCATGGACATGCTGGGTCCTAGCGATCTGCTCAAAATGAAAATGCAGCAGGTTTGGGTTTTCTGTGTACTACCATCTTCCATCCTTGCTTGTACTGCTCTTCCTCTGCTGCCCACCTCCAGTCTTGTCGTATTCAGCTCTGCAGTATCTCATCATTTTGCCTACTCAAGGTCTCTCAGCAACCACGTACTTGCTAATTTCTACCAGGGCTGCCACAAAAGGCTCCCCACTGACTCCAGATCTCGTTTCTTCCCTTCCCAGAAGAACCACTATGCTGTCTTCTCGGAAATTAGTCCATCGCTTCCTTCCTTGCTTCTCTCCATTGTTTCCCTAGCGTGAATGGCTACCGTGAATCCTTCACTGTGACACTCCAGTCCCTCAATCTCCTGTCCTCTTCTACTGCGCAACCCCACATAAAATGCTACAAACTCAGCCTCAGTGGACTTTTTCATGGCTCCTCAAGAACAACCCTCTCCCAACTCCTCTTACACTCTAGGAGCACAAATCCCCACCCAGAAAGTTCTTCCCCACCACAGCTCCCACCCTCCTACTCCATGATTTACATTCATCAGAAGTATCACCTGCTACATGAACTTCCTACTCCTCCCATCTAGAACGACCCAACTCTGTCTGTCTCCTGGGTCTCAGCGGCTATCCTGTCTAACTTTTCCTGCCAAACTACGAACTGTTCTGAGTCAGAAACTATACCGGATTCATTCATGTGGTCAGTCAACAAGGTTGTTTTGAGGTGGGGATCTTTCAGTTTCCCAGGCGAGCCTTGAAATCCCTGCTCATTAAGCATCCGGCCTCATCTTCTTGAGGAGCTGAGAGCACAGGTATACCATCGTGACCAGCCTGTTTACTGAGCAAAACCACAAGCCACATTTCCCTCTGCATGCCGTGTGACAGAAAATAGCATGTGTGGTTTAACTAATTCTACTTTCCTCATTTAAGCAGTTATAATCACTTTGTCTACAATAACTTATATATAGATCTTATTTTCCTGTGAACATTCTTATTACTTGGAAATAAATATACACAGTACTCTTCAGAATTCAAATCCAAATAATCTCCCAAAAGCATGTAAAATGTGATGGCAGGATGACCTGCCACCCACCAAAAGATTCTGATTCAGGGTTTCATTCATGTATGCTTTAGGAGTCTTTGTTAAGTGGACTCTATACTGTAGACCTCAGCCAATTCCTCCACCCCACACTCCTCATGTAAACTACAGGTTTACTGAAAGATGTCAACTCACAGGGCCACTTAAAGGTGACAGAAGTCAATGCTCGAAGAGCATACACTAGGAGACGTGGGGTCCCACTCAGTTCATCAGTGGAAAACCATTACAGACTGCCCAGGCGTCTGGCCCTCTTCAGCCTAGACCACAGCGTGATGCCTACTGCACTGCTAGAACGTCTCCAAACCAGGGGAAACCTGCTAATTGTTTTCCTAGCAGTAAGCTCAGTTTTAAGTGAGAAAGGAAGGGAGGGATTATAAGTCAGGCTGCACTGTAGGCCCGAAGAGTCCTGGCTTGGTGCTTTGACCAGGTGACAATGATCACAAGTGACCAACACCTCTGGCCCTTTCCATACAGACTATTTGAGATGTTCAACTGTGCATGTCCTTTTAGGGCAGAAATGCTTCCAAGTTGTTTCCATCCCCTCTCCCACTTCCGATTGCTTTTATTTCAAAGGAGTTGACATTTTCACACTAAGATATCTTTAATTTTGACAAGTTACAGAATTTGAGATACTAACATTCACTTCTGAGAACATACAGTGTAAGTTCTCCAGAATTATGATTTTTAATTAATCAATTAAATTAGTACGACCTAAGTGCTTTTGTTTCTACCCTTCAATGTTACAGCATATTATACTTGGAAAAATCGTATCTACATAATTTAACAACTATACAGCACAATTAATGTACTTTATCAAGCATTATGTAAACCTTATCATTTGCTTTCCAATTTCATTTTTCCAAAATGCTTTCCAGAAAACACAGAGGTGTGGCTGGGAGTGAGGGCACACTCCTGTAATCCCAGCATTTGGGAGGCTGAGACAGGTAGATCAGCATGAGTTTGAGGCCGGCTAGACTACAGAGTTCAGGCCACAAATGAGACCCTGTCTGACACAGACAACAGAGGTCATGCTCTGCCATTGCTCTGTACTGTGGCCTTTCCACCTAAGGCATCTGGGATAACTGCTTGTTCATCCACACGGGCTAGAAGCCTAGTTGCCTATGACACAAGGGTAAACTCTACTGCACAAATTTTTTAGAAAGAGCTGCAAGAGTAACTTAAACTTTAAAACTGTCTAAAGACATAACTAAGTTCACCAATAAGGCCTATATGAGCTACCGTGTTACACAGCACCTGCCTATCTGCCCACAGATAGGTCTTCGAGGACCTTCTGAGGTTCATTTTGTCAGCTCCTCAAACCCTTGTGAGTGGCCTCTACCCTCTACCTGGCCGCAGCATCTGTTTACAGCCACCAAAGCTGCTGCCAACCCAAGTGCTTGTCTAACTCAAGCCTGACATCCTGGCCTCTTCATCCATAGCACTCACACTCCAAGGCTACTCTTTTGTTCCTGAAAGCTGCCTTCCTTCCTGGGCTCCTGCTGGGCTCATTCTTTCCTCATTCTCCTCCTCTCTTGGTGGTTTTTTACCTCTCTAGTACACATGCTCTTTTGCCAAGGCTCCTGTGAGATATAAAAGAACAATTCCCAGGCTGGGGAGACAGCTCAGTGGCATAAGTGCTTGCCTGGCAGGTGCAAGGTCCCGAGTTTGATCCCTGGTACAAAAAAAAAAAAGAACAATTCCCAAATGCTTGTCTCCTGCTAGTAAAGAACTTGAGGTCTGCATCTCACTGCATGGACCTGTCAGAATGCCATTTACCCCACTCCCTTGCACTGGGGCTCAGCCTGCTTCCCCCCTTCTCCCTCAGCTAATGCAACGACCATCCCTGGTGCCCAGAGAGGAACTCCATTCACAGCATGTCCCCCTTACTGGAAGTTTTACTTCGGAAACATCATGAGCCTGTTTTTCCCTATTTCCACTGCCATTTTTCTAATTCTAGCTTTGTCTTTCACTGAGCTTCTGCAAGTCATTTCAAAACCATCCTCTGCAGCATAAACAACCAATGTTTCATAAAGCATCTATCTGACCATACAACCCTGCTGAAAAGTATCCAATGCTTCCTCCATGAATACTGAAGGCCAAAATTTTCATAATTCATAGGACACACTCTGTCAGGCCCAACTCCCTTGGAGGAACTCAGTGAGGTGAATAGGAATGGGACCCATGAAGCAAGGAGAAGAGCATTAAGACAGACCTCAACCCAAAAGGAATACGAACAGAGCCATATGCAAATGATGAGGAAGTCAAGAAACAGAGGGGCCTGGCATGGCAGTGCATGCCTATAATCCCAGCACTCAAGAGACTGAGGCAGGAGGATTACCACTAGTTCAAGACAAGCAAGCGCTACACGGTGGAGGGAGGACACAGTGAAATGGGGACATTAGAAAGCATACAGGGTACAGGAAGACAAGCCAACACTGCCTCCCCCCAGGTAATTCAGGGACTATGCAGGCCTTTGCTCTATGTCAGATGCTACTTCCCTACAGCCATGTGTAAGATTAGGAGTACGTGGCTTCAACAAATCTGTCCACATTCATGGTTCTAGACTATCGACCATTCCATCTTACCTTCCCAGATGCCACTGAACTTCATACTAGCAGCACAGGTAAATGTGATCTTGCTAACCGCATGGCATGAAAGGCTCAGGTTCAAACCCTGTCTCTGTTGAGTGTGACCACCATGACTCTAGGTCATCACTGGCCTCGACACACCTCCGCTGTCACATAAGAAGGCAAGTATCAGCTTTCTCTTAACAGCTTCATGATGGAAGGAGCACCTGATAACTACAAAGTACTCACATATCTAATGAGAACCATCTCTGTGTGATCTACACTCAACTAGCTATATCCAGTCTGCATCCAAAAGCTGAATAAACTGAAGCAGCCAGATCTGGCTCTCTGCCCTCTTTCCACACTTCTTGCCATGATATCGCTCACCTCCTCAGACTGCTCTCATCCCTGTCAGCACCAGCTCTACTCCCACGTTGTGACTCACAAAGCCTCTGCCTGCCAACAGCTCTGCCTGAAGTCCAACTCACCCTCCTCCAGTTTCTAGCCCAATTCCTTTCTCATTTGCAGTACTTACACAGTGCTTCCGCATTTTCACGTGTACCTCTACTAAAAGGGTGTTCTATTCTAGATCCTACTGTAGTTACTTGTGCCTAGTAATAAGTTAGCCTATCTGCTAACGTAGTAGACAACACGAGGTTAACAAGATCAATATGCAGCAAGAAAGGGAAGAAGTCACTAAGAGAAGTTAGAAGTATGAGAAAAAGCAAGTACTTCATTCAACAAAGTATTTAATGAGCCACTACAAGCAGATATTATGCTACGCACAGAACAGTATTGAGAAAAGACAAGACTCTGCCCTCAGCACTGCAAGTCTAGCTAGAAGGCCGTATCATACTTGAAATCATCACCTTGCAATCACAGGGTGTGCTATGAACACAAGGGACACAAATCATGCATGGCGGTTAAGCTTAAATGTCAACTTGCTTGGCTTAGGACTGCCTGGAGTTTAGTAAAACACACATCTTTGTCCAGGTGGGTCACAAAACCATAACCTTGGTCCCTGGCCCCTTCATCTCTGGCACTGTTCCCCTGCTTGTTTTTCCCAGCTTCCATGAACTCAGCAGCTCTGCCCAGCCCAGCCTTTCTACCATGACATTTCTGCTTTAGAGACAGCTAATGAACTGCATCCTCTAGAAAATGGGCAAAAATCACGTCTTCTTCCTTTAAATTGTGTATGTCAGGTATTCGGTCACAGCAATGAAAAGCTAATACACTACTGCCCACTATTTCTCTAAGTGATGCGCAAGTTGTAACAGAAAAACCAGTAAGTGTTAAATACAATGGTAGCAGAAACTCTTCAGGAAGAAGGGCATGTGCAGGGCTATAAAACTGAGAAAGAAAAATCAATGAGACATAAAGCTCTGGAAACAACTGCAAAGATCAGGTGCTAAAAGCCATGACTACTCAGAAGCCTTTGCTTTGGCCCTAGAAGTGACGAAATGCAAGCAATGGACTTTATTTCTGCATGCAGCATGACAAGTGGATTGCAGGAGGGAGAATTCTGCTCAAGAAGTGTTCTTAGGGATTGTGACCATCACCCGGACAACACAGCTGCACTAGGATAGTAGGAATGGACACTACACAAACGAGCAGCTGATTTAATAAAAGCAGTAAGACTCATGAATATTGCTTATAACAAAGGCAAAGAATTCTTAGAGCTATTGCTTATATAACTAGATGAAATACATTGATACAACACCTTGAACAATTAAAAGGTATCTAGCTAAGATCTTATTTGAGTACAAGCGCCTGAGTTCAATTCCCAGTTCTGCAAAAAAAAAAAAAAAGATTTGATTTGATTCCGAGATGCTGCAATGCCTCGGGATATTCACATAGCTGTACCTTATCTGTAAACCTGGGTAACAGGACTAGGTGTGTGATTCAGGGTAACTTACCATGTATGAGGGGATCATGGTAATACCTATCTTACAGGACTAATGAGGCTCAAAGGAGCCAAGACAAGCACTGTGCCTAATGCAGCACCTACTGGAAACAGGTGCCTAGCTGTGACCCTCCATCCAAACTCTTGTTTTTTTGGAATTATTTATTTGGTACAAGGTCTTGCTACACAGTGATCCTCCTGTCTCAGCCTTCCAGCACTGGGATTACAGGCATGCGCCACCATGAATGATTTTGGTGGCTGGCACAACACGACTGGAACCCTGGGGCTGGAAAGGCATGTGGTACTGGGGATCAAATCCAGGTCCTTGCACTTGCCAGGCAGGTGCTTACACCACTGAGCTATCTCACCAGCCTCATCAAAACTCTTTAAAGGTTCTGTAACACTTTCACAATTACTCCCAACTCCCATAAAAGTATGGCTCCGAATCTGCTTCTCTGAAGAACTTTCCCCTGTACCTTAACCCAGAGCTCTCTCTCCTTGGAATACACCTCTGCTCATTTTACTCATGTGACAATACCAAATGGGGGTTATAATGTAATGTGCCTTCATGTGCAGAGCACCATCCCAGATCCAAGAGGTTCTTACTCTGTGTAGCCCCTGCAGCCCCTTACCCATGACAGGTAGTAAATCTTCACTCACACATCCACTGGTTGATATATTTTCAAAGATGACATCTTAGATTGGGGTGGGCACATCCACCTACCTTTAAGATTTCAGGATCTGAAACCATGGGCACTTGCTCTTTTATTTCTGGCCCCATAGTCATAGGATCTTCTTGTATAACTTCAGGGTGTACACACATGGGTGCTTCTTGATTAAATTCAGGGTCTGTTCCCACAGGTAACTGCTGGCTTATTTCAGGATGTACACATATGGGGAGTCCTTGCTTGGGCTCAGGATCTAGATACGTGTGAACTTCTTGCTGAGAGTCAGCATCTGTGCACATGGGACCTCCTTGCTTGGATTCAGGATCTGCATGCATGGGAACTTCCTGCTTACATTCAGGATCTGCACGCACGAGAACTTCCTCCTTCAATTCAGGATCTACACGTACTAGAACCTTCTCCTTGGAATCAGGATCTGCACACACTAGGATGTCCTGGCTAGACTCAGGCTCTGTACAAGTGGGAGCCCCTCGGGGGGATGCAGGGTCTGAACTCAGAGATACTTCTTGCTTGTCCAACACTGTTACACCTTTGGGCTTTTGGAAGAGCCATGGAGATTTTTTTCCTGGCAAGAGATATGATGCTACTCCTTTATAAAAAAGAGCTTTGTTTGGTCCCAAAGGTAACATCTCTTCTAATTTTCTCTCACCTTGATGCAAATGAAGAACTTTGGATATGTAGTCGGACACAGCTAAGATAATGTTACCCTTTTTGTCAAAGCTCCCTTTTGAAGACGTATAGGAAGACAAGCATTTGTACCGAAAGCTTTCAAACATGCCCTCCGGGATGATATCATTACCAAGCAGACAGGCCAACAGAGGCAGGTCAGCCAGGTGGAGGCCCAGACTCTCACAAAGCTTCTCCCGACACAGCATGACTGTGTTGAGACTCTCCAGACAGAGGTCACTAATAGACAAGTAGGGACAAGTATCATAAATCAAGTAATCAGTGTCTTCCCCAAGAATCCCAAGGCAGTTATGCTGGAGACCATAGGAAGCCACTTCGTAGTCTGCCTCCTGTAATGAACACAAGGTTTGCTGACCCATCGCCTTCAGAGCAAATCGCGTAAATATGGCCAGCCCAGAGGGGATAAAGAACATATTTCTGCCTGGCTGCTCCCTGCGTGACTTTATGTAATGGAAAATCTTGGAAATCTCCTTGTTGTTCTTAAGCCTTCGTTTGATCCACTCATCTCTCTTATTCTGTTCCACCATGCCATCAAAGAAGAATATCAACTTGATGCCGACGGATTCAAAGGTTTTAACAAAATCTCGCAAAGCAGCAAAGTATTCTCGCCACTGGCCACCGCAGATCCAAGATTCTGGAGTGTACCAGTACCGGAGACAGCACATGGCGTCCACCACGATGGTTGGGGTACATGCTGGGTGCCTGCTGAGGTGGTGTTCGGCCATCTCTTTGAGGTTGACGACTGTACACACATGTGGGCAGGTACTCCTCACGAACCCCTGCAACCCTCTCACACCCATAACTAAACTCTGAAAAAGAATCTGTAAAGAAAAATAAATTCACAATGAGTAACTATGACCTCATCACTAGACATATAGAACTTTTCAAAGCAAACACAAGGCAAGAGCTAATATCCCAAAACATTACGTCAACAAACTAATGCAACACATTGGCTAGGAGTCTAAAAATTTTCAACTGAAACACATAAAGTGCTTTACTTAAGCGTTTATGATTTATCAGTTAGAATTCAAAGACAATAGAGTATACCAATTTTTTAAGCTTTTCACTAAGGCTATTATTTAAGATATTTCAAAAACACATTCAGGGGCTAGCCAGATAGCTCAGTGGACTAAAGTGCCTGCTTAGGCAATAATTTAAGATACAATAGTTCAAGAGTTAAAATTCAAACTTTAGGAAAAAATATAGCCAAGGCGGGAGTGGTGGTGCACATCTATAGTCTCAGTACCCGGGAAGCTGAAGCAGATGGATTGCTCTGAGTTTGAGCCCTACCTTGGCTACACAATGAGCTGAAGGCCAGCCTCAACTACAGAGTGAAACCCTGTCTCAAAAGATAAACAGAAAACTTTATTTAATAAGATATGCTTCTACATAAGATGTTCTTTAGGCAGGCTACAAGGTTCATCAATGATCAGAAAAAAATTTATAAACCTATCTTGCAGCCAGGTGTGGTGGCACACACCTGTAATCCCAGCACTCAGGAGGCTGAGGCAAAAGGATTGCAGACTGTTAAGAGGCCAGTCTGGGCTACATAGTGAGTTCAAAGCTACCCTGAACTACACAGAGAGACACTGTCACAAACAAAAAACAAACATTTCAGTGGTCCATTTTTTCACTATGGTTTTATCTATATCATCAGGATGTCATGTCTTTTGAATAAACACAACAAAAACACCTTTAATATGCAAATAGCAACACGAAATGAGTTATGCCTCTATAAAACACAGGGCTGAAGGACCAGACACATACACACATTCACAATCTTTAATCTGTGAAACTCTGATAAGACTGGTTAAAAAAAAAATCAAAAGTTCTATTTTACAAATAAATGGTAAATAATTATTAGGTTGAGAAAAGGCACCTTTTTTTTCAAGTGCTAAGGATCTAACCAGGGCCTCACACATGCCAGGCAAGTGGTTCTACTGTTGAGCTACACTCCCATCCCCAAGGAGGTTAGCCTGCCCCCTCCCCACTTATTTCTCAAGAATTTACCCACTACTAGTGGACCCTGCCCTCTTATGGTAACAATATGAAGCTATCTGTAATAGCCATTAATAATCAAAATATACCAAATTTAGGCAGAGGATTATATTTATGTTGAAATTTAGAGAAGATTCACTCACTGTCATTAAATGGGCTATGAACACACATGCCCCAAATCACTACTTTAGTACTGCTACAGAGTTTACTATGGAAACATTGCCAAAATACCACTGCTGCAGTAGAACAGGCCTCAAAACATGATGATTCCCACGCCAGTGGATCTGCTGAATCCCACAGGAAGGCTCCCCTTTTCCCCCGTACTGAAGACCTAACGCAAGGCTGCACAATGCCAACCAAGTGGGCCTACCACTGAGTTACACTCCCAACCCCAGGGAAGTCAGCCTCTTATTTCTGAAAAAGGGTTTTTTCTGTCCCTTACTATTATCACAGGGGGAAGGAGACAAGCTTTGAAAAGGGAATACAAGAACATAAGGATCGAACAGTAAGCAACACGTAGACTATTATTCTATGCTTAGCTTTGAATTAAGCAGGCCAAAGGTCAAATTTCAAATCTGGAATCTGACTCAGCTTCTATGTTCTTTCACAGCTCCTCCATTGGGTGCTGTGGTCCAAAAGAGCTCACAGCCAGTCCCTGGGGATTCCTGCTCTAGGAGTTCTCAGGCTTGGGCAGCTCGCAAAAGGATGGCTGAACTGCTCAGCACACAGTCAACACACACATAGGGAAACAGAGCTAGGAGGATCAAGGCAAACCCTGCACCCCCTGCTAAACTGCTATATCCATGGGCATCTTCTGCCACACTGGAGCTGGCTGCCTGTCCTTGCTAATAAAAGACTTTTGTTTTTTGGTGGTACCAGGGATCAAACTCGGGACCTTGCACTTGCCAGGAAAGCACTTATTCCACTGAGCTATCGTCCCAGCCTTCTTTTGGTTTTTGTTTCAGGCATTTTATACTAAAACTTCAAATGACAACAATAAATTTCTCAACATAGTCCTTTTCATGAGAAGTCAGGATCAGCACTCTTTAATTTTATTGATATTTTTGCTCTTTCTTATCTCAGTAATAAAAATCTTTTAGCTAAGAAGCCCCTGGTTCTTCCTCTTTTCAACAATTTCCTCACATTTTTTTAATCTTTAAATCTGCTCATATTTTTATTTTTTACCAATTTTGAGAAACATAGCAATGAGATAAGTTTCAAAACCGATTAATAGGACGGTTTCAATAATTAATACATTGCATATTGTTATCTTCTTAGTGGTTATTCATAGTAAAAGACGCAGACATGATATCCTGTCTAAATACTATTAGTACAAATCTTTCTTCCCACTGAATTAAGAGAAAGTAGCTGTATATTTCCTCACATTCTGAACCACAAATTATCTCAGGAGTGTGGCATGACAATGTATTCTTCTGTGGATTTTCCAACTAAGAATCCAAGGACCAGACTTGGGAAACTATGATAATAGAGGATGCTGTTCAGCATCTCTTGGTCTGAACCATACTTGTGTGGTACAGTTCACGCGGTGTGGAAGAAGATATCCAAATGATAGGAAACTGGGTATTACTTCAAACAATTATTTTTTTGCCTTCCCTTTGAGCATATACATGGAGGCATTTCATTCCTAAAGAGAATTATTATAGAATGAGGGACGTTTTACCTGCACATTATGTGGGAAATTTTCATATGTAAATAAGCGCTATATAAGAGAAAGCATGAGTTTATGCCCCATTAAGCAGATTTTTTTTTCCCCAGAACCAGGGATTGAACTCAGGCCCCATCTCCCTGGCCCAAGCAGAAATTTTAATAGCCCAAAACATGGTCTGGGATGCTCCAGCATCAATACTACTAAGGTGACCCTCTAAGGCCATCACCTGACACATGAAGGGTTCCATGAGTATCAGAGAGAATAAAGAGGTTACTCTAGGCAAATTAGTGAGATGCTGAAACAAAAAGGACTAGAGATGTAGCTTGGCAGTTGTTATGGTTTATGTCTAGGTGTCCCCCAAAGCCTCATGATCCACTGGGATTACAGGTGTGAGTGCTGCTGGGATTATGGGTGTAAATGCTGCTAGGATTATGGGTGTGAATACTATACCCAGCCTGGGGCAGATAGCCTGAATGCAACATAAGGGAGACAGACTTCTCTGTTGCCACTGTTGCTGTTACTCCTCCCTTTTGTTCTTGCTACACTCTGCCATGTGCCAGTCTGCGTTGGAGCCAGCTGAGTATGGACTAAAATCTCCAGTGATTGTGAGCTAAATAAACCTTTCCTTCCCTCATTTTGGCTGTTGGGTATTTGTCCCAGAAATGAGAGAATACTGAGACAGAATTTGGTACCAGAGAAGTGGGGTCGTTGCTGTTGCTAAACCCAACCATGTGGATTACAAGCTTTTGGGAATGGCTTATGTGAAGAGATAGGAAAGGTTTGGAGACATCGCTTACAAGAGAAGCACTGGAATAGCTTTGGCCGTTCTATATGGGAGATTCTGGTCAGAGCTCAAACCAGAAGGTTGATAGAAATCCTGCCTGTAAAGATCCAGCTGGGGAGGTTTCTGCTGGGAAAAAGGACTGATTGGTTGTTGGGACTCCAAATCATTTGTGTTTTGGCTTGGCAGTTTGTCTGCATTTTGTTCTTGTCGAGAGACTTTGCCTGAGCCTGAGAGTATGCATGGTTGACTGATTAACCTTCCAAAAGAAATCTCAAAACAGCCAAATATTGAGGCAGTGGCATGGCTATTGTTGGGGATTTTAAGTCACTTTTATGTTGAGAATTGAGAGTAAAGAGCCCAGCAGGATGATTTAAAATGTTGTGAATTTGGTCAGAAAAGAAGCTCCTGCCACATGGACTGTACAATTTGCCACAGATTGCTTCAGATGGTCCACATGGAACTGCAGGACTTAAGCTGTGGACTGCAAAGATAGAGCTGAAAGGATCTCCATTGCAGAGAAGGAACCAGAGAATGGCCTGAAGGCATCACAAGAGGTACAGGTCTCCACTCTCCGCAGTCTCAGAATTGCAAGGGTGAGGGCCTTTGTCTTGGGAAAACTGCAGAGTTCCATTTTCCAGAACGGTGGTGGCAGTGGCCACGCCAGGTTCCAGAATGGCACCAGCGTGGAGAATTTATTCCTCAGAATCAGGGTCAGAGTGCTCAGCAATCCAGGCATTCAATCTCTATGGCCAAGAGAAAAAGAATCCTGGCTACTGCCCCAGCTGGCAGCAGACCTTGGCATCATCCACTGGTTTTAGGCACTTGCACAACTCTCAGAAAGAAGTCTTTCACCTAGATTTCAGAAGGCCTGGGAGGCCAGACAGTGTGCCCCTGAGAGGGTGGTGTGTAAAGCTGTGAGTGAGAAGCCTGTTCAGTGGAAACCCCCGAAGTTTGGAAAAGTCAAGAACATGGATCATCTACAGAAAACTGTAAGGGGAGAGCAAAGCTAGCCTAAGAGAAAAGCCAGGGGAGCTACCACCGCCAGAAGTGCCACAGGGGTGAAGCCACATGGACCTCACAATCTGCCAGACGGCTTCCAATGTTCCACATGGAGCTACAGGACTTAACGTTTGCCCTGCTGGATTTTGGATTCGTGTTGGTCCCAGTGCTTTATGATGCCAGTGTTTGTACCTTCTGGGATGGTAATGCTTATCTTGTGCCATTGAATGTTGGAAGTGTCTAACTTTTCATTTGTACAGGGGCTCACAACTAAGACTTTGCTTTAGATCTTGGAGGAGACTTGGGACTTGGACCTTTCAGCAATGCTGAATCTGTTAGGACTTCAGTAACTCTTGGAGGTAGACTAA